AATTTCCATAATTTTTTCAACAATACCATGGCTGAATGCTTTAACCTTTAAATCTAGGTTTTCATGATTTTGCTCGATTTTGATCCGATTCAATCAAGAAATCAACTTCCAATCAAACTTACAATATCTCTAAAATCAAAGCCCTAATCAAATCTCATCAAAACACAAAGTTCTATAATTTCATCTTTTGTCTGAAAACCATAGAATAATTTATAGGAAGTTTGAACATGTTTTAATCATAAATCAAGCTTGAAAATGAATCTACAACTTCTAAATCATCAAGATTTATCATCAATTTCAAGAACTCTAGTGTGAACACAAACCCTAAAATTTGGGATCTTTAAAATCAAGCAAGTTGAGCAAGCATAATTGGTACCAAAAGATAACATTTTTCGAATAGATTGTTTTTCTATTTCAATACATAACATGAAATCCAAATAAAATAGCTAAAAAATGGAAACCAAATTTTTTTCTCTTACTTTAGGAATCTCACGGCACATGGAGAAGATGATAACAAATTGGCATGAAATTTAGATAATTTCATGCTAATTTACCTTTTAATTTAAACTTTAATGAATATTAAATTCATTAAATTGAGAAAAGACCAATTTACCCTTAATGAAACTTCATATTTGCCATCCAACCAAGACACCACAAACTTATCATCTTCTTAAAGTCAAAGATGAATAAACAATATCTAACTTTACCAATTTGCCCTTGCCTTTTTCCAAAAATTACAATATTGTCACTTTAATCCAACGGTCCATATTAAGCATGGAATTAAATACTAAAATCCAAAGATTTATATTATTTTCCAACATTTAAAAATGTGAAAATAATATTTTTGAGGTCTAATTTATCATCCTTCAGATTTTCCTGAAATTTTTATTCGATCCGATTTATCAAATTTTTCCTCAAAGTTCATTGCTTTATAACTTTTAATACAAAACTCATATTAAAATTATGATTACCACATAAACATTATTCTTGAAGTAAACTATTTATTTACGAGGCTAATATGTAACTTTTTTTAAAATTACTATTTTAGTCCCTAAACTTTCTAAAGTTTATACTTTTATTACTAAACTTTCAAAATTTTATATTTTGGCCCCTAACCAAATCCATTTATGAAATAAAATTCTTATTGAGAAAAATTACCACTTAGGTCCTTAAACTTTTCCTAATTCTCTACTTTGACCATCAAACTTTCAAAATTTACATTTTGGCCATTATCTAAAAATTTGGGGTATTACACAAAGGTCGACTTCTTTAGCTCAATGGGGTCGAAGATATTCCATATGAAGTGGTGGTGTCACTTTAGCACGATAGAGTCGAGGCACTACCAGATCCACTACTAGACTAGATACTCAAGTATCATGTAAGCAATATGCAATAAGAGCTAGGGAGGATGATGATGCAGTTGATCATAAATATATTCACATTGTTTTCAAATCCTATTATTGAATTAGTAGATCTTGGATCCACACATTCATACATTTGTAGTGTGGTAATTCAAGAGATGGATTTCCCAATTGAGAAAATGAATATTGAGGTTTGTGCGTCTAGCTTGTTGGGCTTGGACGTGCTAGTGTATAAAGTTTATCAACGATGTGTAATAAAGATTCAAGGCCATTTGTTTCCAGCATACTTAATAAAGTTTCCATTTCATGAGTTCGATATGATCTTGAACATGAACTCGTTAATTGAGCATGATGTTAGTTTAATATGTCGAGCTAGACAGTTAAAGCTTTGTAAAGAAAGAGGCCCTAAGGTTTTGGTGATGAGTGAGGGAGGTGAGCAACATACTCGCATCATTTTAGCAATCATAGCCTAGGAGATGATCGACAAGGGTTGTGAGGCATTCTTAGCGTACATCATGGATTCGAAGGTTCAGAGTCTAGACTTAGAGGATATTCAAATAGTGAAGGAGTTCGCAAATTTTTTTCCTGACGAGTTTCCAAGATAACCCCTAGATAGGGAGTTGGAGTTTGGTATCGATGTGATGCCTAGTACAACTTTAATGTCCATTGCCCCCTATCGTATGGCACCAACTGATTAGAGAGAACTAAAGACTCAATTGAAAGACTTGCTTGATCATCAATCCATTCTTCCCAATGTTTCAACGCGGGGAGCATCAATGTTTTTTGTTAAGAAGAAGGGTGGATTGATGAGGTTGTGCATCAACTATCGTTAGATCAATAAGGTGACAGTGAAGAACAAGTACCCTCTGCCAAGGATATATGATTTTTTTATCAGTTGAGGGGTGCTTATGTGATTTATAAATTAACTTGAGATCTGAGCATTACTAGTTGAAGGTTTAGAAGGCATATATTTCGAAGATTGTCTTCTAGACTAGAGACGACCATTATGAGCTCTTGGTGATGCTGTTTGGACTCACTAATGCTCCAGTTGCATTTATGGATTTAATGAATAAAGTTTTTCAGTCGTACATAGATCAATTTGGGATGGTTTCATCGATGACATTTTGGTATATTGGTGATATGAGGTTAAGCATGATCATCATCTCCGAGTTGTGCTTCAAACTCTCGAAGAGGCAACTTTTCAATGACATCATAATTTAATAATTCAATGAGGTACAAATAAATGTTTCAAAAATACAAATAAAATGAATTAATGGCACTAAATGATATTGATTTCAAGTAAATATCTAAGTAAAAAGATATGAAATATACCCATTCTACAGAGTTAATTATCTACATCGACAATGTCTAAAAAAATTATCTACATCAAAGGCGACTTTATTTCGATATTTGGAGATCATATCCACAAGAGGGAGTTGAGATGTCCGTTTTTAGACCATTTTTTTCTCGATCATAGAAATATTTAAGACGATGATTGGTGGTCGAAAATCGTATGAGAGAGAGATCAAGAGAGAAAGAAGATGAAAGGCCAAATAAAAAAGAGGGAAAATGAACCATCTAGTTAAAATTTCTCTATTTATACTTAGGATATTTTTACCCACCCAACTATTACTTTATACTAATATGCAACATAAACCTTCACAATTGGAGTAACAACCCAGCGATCTGGGTGAGTGCACCACCAATAAATATTCATGAATTAAAAGGGTAAATTTAAACCCAAGTTCTTAAAGTTTTAAGGGTTCCATAATAGACATCTCATTTAAAACTATTTTCAATTAAATCCTCAAATTTCACAAATTCCTTTCAGTTAAGACATAATATTTAATTTTTTATTTGAATCTTCCGAATTCTATTTGATTCAAGTCAATCCCACAATTTTTTTAACATTTCAATTGAGTCCCAAACTTTAAAATTTATAACTCTCGGGTTAAATTTCAGGGTGTTACAATAATATGGAAGATTTACTTACGTTAGTGTAAAATTAGAGTGATTTACACACTTCAACACCTTTTTGTATAACTAATATTTTATAATGTAACTATTAAATTATTAATATAATTATATTTATTATGTATGTAAACTTTTAAATCAATTTGACATCTCTACCATATTTATCCATAATACTAATTTTATTAATATATATTTGACAATTAATTTTTATATAAGTCAAATTATAGCTATACATTATAAATTTACTTAAAATTTGACATACATAATTTATATAAGTATAACATAATATGATGATCAAATTGACTTAAGTGATTTTACATAATTCAATAACTTTTTCTATAGTCAATATTTTAACAAATTGACTATTAAATTTATTGATGTAATCATATTTTTCATGGAAGTATGATTTGAGATCAATACGATACATGTTAATCCATAATATTGTTTTTATTATTATAATTATTATTTTTTCATAAAAATATATAGTTCGATATTATGGATTTATTTAAAATTTGACACGTTGTTTTATATAAAATTAAACATGAAATATGATAGTCTTATTATTAGAATATTAATTATACAAAAAAAATATTAAATTGTGTAAAACGATTTTAATCCATAACGATTTGGAGATTATATTTATATTACTCTAGTCAATTATTTAACATAATTAAATTACAATTCTTTGGCATTGATAGGCTTTGAAGGTAAGGAGGGCAAGGGGTCGTGTTTTTTTGGTCAACTTGACCTGTAATATATATATATATATATATATATATATATTTCACCTGATTCGACCCGATCCAAAGATCATATTTTTTCCACCCGAACTTCATACAATCTATTTTTTAGAGTATAAATCCAACTCGACTCAACATGATATAAAGTAAGAACCTAATTGAAAAAAATATAGAAAGAAATATCATAGCAATTATTCATATATATATATATATATATATATATATATATATGGAAATTTACACTATTAGTCCCGGGTCGAGTGAGGTCAAAGATTTTTATCTTCATCTAAATGTGACTTGATCCTACCGAACTAAATCTAATTTTTTTTTAAATTCTATTATATGAAATTAGATCGAATTAGAATGCGTCGGTTTGGTTTGGGATTAAATTACCATCCCTATTTGAAGGGAAGAACTTATTTATAGCGTTAATATTAATGACATTTTTGGTTTGTGTTTTCATATTTTGATCTTATCAATTCATAGTTAATTCTTGACCAGTTTCATTTGGCGATTGAGATTTGAGAAGTTTTGGGAAAAATTAAATGGATGGAAAACGATTGCCCGCAAACTCACACGCCGACAAAACTAATTAGAAATTAACCAAACCACTCTTGGCATCAGAAAATCCCCTTTCTTTCCCATTAAGATCGAAACTTTCAATCGTAGATTCTTAATTATGATTCTGTTCTTAGCTAATTGAGTGAAAATCACACCGCCTTTCATCTACCTTTTGACACTTTCCTTTTAAATTAACTTGAAACATCACTAGTTCATGAAAATTTCGTAGTCCATCCAGGAGTTCTTTTCTTAATCATCCTCTGTTGCCAAGGTACTTCTCCGAATACTGGGGGTTTTCCCCTCCTCTCAAGTTTCTTCATGTTGTTACAATTTAATTTATCAATCCGATTATCTGGGATTAAATCTTCTTCACTCTTATATGGGAGTTAAATCTCAGTTTAATTTATTCGAAGTAAGCTAGTCTCCTTGAAATATATGTTCTTTTGTTGCTGTTTTGTTTTGTTTCTTTATTATGCTTGGCATTGAGTTGGAATTTAACGGACTTTGCCCTTCAGTTTTATTTATATTATAATGATCGTATTCCGTTTAATTATAAGGCTATGAAGGGAACTAAGCTAATTTTGAGGTTAGATCCGATGCTGAACTTTATCAGCCGTATCTTACGCTTAATTATTCATGGTTTAATAGATTTTTTATTTCAGACTTCAAAAAAGAAATGAAATTGATGTGGTTTCTGATGGATTAATGAACTTTAATCTAGTTCTGAAATTGTATTCAGGATATGAAGTAAAAAGGCCATATTTATCCTTTTGTTTCCCTCAGAACTTGTTTATACAGTCTTGTGGTTAACTGGTTTTGTTGTTTGTTTCAGTGTATTGTGATGGCAAACCTAAAAGAGCGTTTGCTTCCACCGAGACCTCAATCAACTGTAAACATTAGAGATGCTTCTTATCGGCCATCTGCCTCTGGACGCCAACCTTTCCAAGACATGGATTTATCAGGGTTAAAGAAGCGTGGCCAAGGACTTCGATCTTGGATCCGTGTTGATACATCTGGGAATTCACAGATAATTGAGGTTGACAAGTTCACTATTATGCGTCGATGTGATCTACCGGCACGGGACCTACATCTTCTTGATCCTCTTTTTGTTTACCCCTCGACAATCCTTGGTAGAGAAAAGGCAATTGTTGTAAATTTGGAACAGATAAGGTGTACAATCACTGCCGATGAGGTTCTACTCTTGAATTCCCTTGATAGCTATGTTTTGCAGTATGTTGTGGAGCTACAAAGGCGATTAACAAGTGGAGTAGGTGAGGTTTGGCAGTCGGAGGGTCCTGAGTTGAGCAGAAGGAGCAGTAGGGGTTTTGACAATGTATATGTGAACACATCCCCTGATTATTTTCCCTTTGAGTTCAGAGCTCTTGAAGTCGCTTTGGAAGCTGCTTGTACGTTCCTTGATTCACAGGTGTGTGAAAGTGGCCTAAAATGTCTTATTGTGTTTGAACTAAATTAGGGACGATAAACGAATGGTATTTCTAATTATGCGCTTGTAGACGTAGAATATCACCTGAGAATATATCATGCTGCAAAATGGTTAATTCATGAATTGGAGATCAAACCATAAAATAGCAGTAGTATTAATGTTTTATACATTTATAGTTTTTAGACTCAACACCATTCTCTATCTCTCCTCATCTTCCTACTCCTCTTCATAACCATAACATAAAGTTTCTTTTCCTTTTTGTGGGTAACTATCAAATTTCTGATGCTTTTATTTTTCAAAAATAATAATAATTAGAGAAAATTGGTTGGAATATGTATCGACGGCAGATTTGCTTTTTTATTGCAGGGGATGTTGAGCTATGTAAAAATTAAGGAAAATAAATAAGGCATCTAAGAGCGAGTCATGAAAAATGTTGCATGTTCTTGTTACTTTTGGCTGGATTTTCATCATTATTCTGGTTGGTCGTAATAACTTATAACCTAATATAACTGAGTGGGAGAAGAACGTTTTCTTTTTCTGTATCTGGCTGCTATATTGAAATATGTCTTCAAAAGCTCTTTTCTTCTTACATGCACATGATTGTTAAGTAAATTCTCACATTATCCTTACTGTAGTATAAGATATATTTTCTTGTCCTATCTAGAAGGATTTTTTAAGATTGAATTTTCTTGTGCTCCCTGTTACAGATTAAAATTTCTATCAGAAAACTTGTGCTAGTCTTTGTATTTTATGGTTGCCTTTTTTAATCTCATCTTATTAGACAGGTTCATAAGTAAATGTTCTTTAGCATGTTAGAGATGACTCTTAACTTTGGGATGTTCCTTCTTACAAATTAAAGTGCTCTCTTAGAGCTTGTATGAGTTTCACCTTCAACTAAAGAACACAGATATCTGTAGGGTGCTTGATATTTTTAAATTACCTGTTGGAGATTCTGAGGAAAGTATTGTTAGATGTAAGAACTTTGACTGTAGGTCTAAACATCACTGACACAAGTTGTAGTCAAGTGCCTTTCATCATTATGATTGTCCATAGAGATGGTAAGAGATGACTTCTGGATCATTTTAGGTGTTGACTTCTAGCTTTTCCTGATAATTTCAGTTGTGGTTCATGAAGTTTTGTAGTCTTTAGGTTGTGTGTTGGGTGGTTTTGGGCAGATTTTTAATAAGTTCAAATTTTCCCATGTTGTTCAAGTTTTGGTCGATTCAGGATTCTGTTCGGATCCTAGTCACTTCAGTTTTTGGTCTTAGGACTTTAGGTCAGTGTTGGCTAATTGATTTGGGCTTCTGCCGTGTCTTGCGGGTCAAGTAGGCCGGGTGAAATTTTTCATCCACCTCTAGTTTCTTAGTTTAGAGAAAAAGGCAATCATGGACATCTCTTTTCTTTGAGTTCCAAGCTTTGAACCTTATTCTTGTTTCCTTCAAAAGCCCTTGAGAGAAAAGAGAAGTGTAGTAATAGAAGATAATTTCTCTGCAAGTTCAAGCATTGGATCATTTCTTATTTAAGCCCTGTAACATCATGCTATCTGGAAATAATTTCTCAGTTGTTTTTCAATGCTTGTTGATCTGTACCTCTGACCTTTTAATGTAAAGTGAATAGGAATTCCTATGCATCATCTAATCAAATCGAATTATTTTTTGGTAACTCCACAAATCTGTGTGCATTCTTCTGCCAAACAATGTAGGAATTGGTGCATTATATGTTATGCAATGCCTATTGTTTTTAGCTGGCCATCGCTTAAGTGATAGTCTATGAAATCAAATGCGTTCATTGGGAGATTGGATTATAACATCTGTGATATCATGGATATCATACCCTACTAACCATTGGAAATTTTTTTTTTGATAGAATAAGGCCTCATTAAAACCCCCCTTCTTATCCTACATGTTACAAACATAACATGAAGGACATTGGAAGGAGGGAAATAGTGCCTCTAACTTTTATTAATAAGAACAATAATACACCTCCACACCTCAACAACAAAAACTTCTTACAAAACAGAACAACCATAATTCTGAAAGCATAAAACACCCTAATACACTTTAAATAGTAACAACCGAGACATAACACCTTAACAATTACACAACTAAAATCAGCCTATGCTAGCTTTAGCTAATTCATCCGCTTCCCAATTAGCTGCTCTCGAGATGTGCCTTGTGATAATACCCTTCCTCTCCACAGTAGAAGCTATATCCGTTACCAAGGATTGGAACAAAGTAGAACTAAGGTTCGGATTATTAATCCACTTCAGAGCATTGGAAGAGTCCGATTCCAAAATGATCCGCTGATTTGGAAAGAAATCAGCTTCAACTTCCTCAATAAGAATCAACCCTCTATTAATAGCCAAAAGCTCAACGAGTAAAGGAGGACCTCCCCCAACCTTCTCTGAAAATGACCCAAGCACCAACCCGCTGCCATCCCTAATCAAGCCACCTATTCCACCTTATCCTAATCTTTAACCATTGCACCATCAACATTTACTTTTAAAAACCCTTCCGGAGGAGGACTCCACCTGGAAGAAGGAAGATTCTTCTTATGCGAATTGCCAAGTTGATCTGCTAGTTTTAAATCCCCCATCAAAGAATCGAAATGAAAGTGAACATCCTTAACTGATGTTTCAAACCAAGAAACAGTTCTGAAACGTGTAATGAAGAACAACAACGCTGGATCAACCTTCCCATTCTGAAAAATCACCTCATTCCTACATTTCCAAACAGACCACAACACTGCTCTTGGAATAAACTTCCATATGTGAGATCGTGGCACTAGATCATCCCAGGCCATAAAGAAATCCATCAACGAACCAGGAACCACAAAGAAAACATTCCATAACTTTAAAAACTTAGCCCACAAAACCCATACCACTTCGCAGTGAAGAAACAAATGAGCGACCGACTCATTGTACTTCCTGCACATAGGGCAGACAGAGTCTTCAACCCCAGTAACTCCTCTCTTCAGCAGTTCCTCTTTCACCGCAACTCTATGATGAGCAAGTTGCCAAACGAAAGATTCCACACGTGGTGGAGCTACACCTTTCCAAACATATCTTTCCCAATTGCTTTCTAATTCAACATTACCCTCTCTATCAAAATAAGCTTTCACGCATGATTTTGCTGTAAAACAGCCCTCTCCATTTCCCAAACAAATCCAACAATCTTCCTCTACTAGGGACAAAGAAGAGTTGTTTAACAGAGAGATAATTTGCAGCCACTGCTCAACCTCCCAATCTACCAAATTCCTTCTCGTTTGAATATCCCAAACCCAACCCGCATCATAATGCAATTGAATTCTGCAACCTTACCCTCTTTGTTATTCGAGAGAGCAAATAACCTTGGAAACCTATCTTTAAGAGGAACCGAACCCAACCAAACATCATGCCAAAACTTAACTGTTTCTCCATTTCCTGCTCTAACACACAAATTTCTCCTAAAACAGTCCCCAAATGCATCACATGAAAAGAAATTCTTAACAACTCCTCTCCAAATCCAAGAAGTACGAGCTGTCCAAGAATTCCGGATCATCAAAGAATTAGGATCCATATTGTAAACACAACACACAACAGATTTCCACCAAGAATTTTTCTCTGCAGCAAATTTCCACACCCATTTCCCCAAAAGAGCCCTGTTTAATAACAACAGATTCGAGATCCCTAAACCCCCAACTTCTTTGGCTTACACACCAAATCCCACTTGATCCAATGAATGTTCTTTTTCTCTGATGCTCCCCCCATAAAAACGATGCCATGATAGAGTTTAATTTGTTGAGAACGCTAATAAGGATCTGAAAAATAGAAAGGTAGTATATTGGAAGAGAGCACAACACGGATTTGACCAAGACAGCCCTTCCAGCCAGAGATAAAGACTTGGCCTTCCAACCCGCCAAACTCTTATAAAATTTTTGTACAACCGGTTCCCACATGGAAAAAGAATTCCTCTTAGCCCCCAATGGAAGACCTAAGTACTCTGATGGAAAAACTCCCTTTACACACCCTATTTCCTTTGCCCATGAAACTAACTCCTCTCCCACGTTAATTCCAAAAATTCTGCTCTTGGACAAATTCAACTTCAAACCCACCAGCAGTTCATAAATTAGAAGCACCCTCCTAATATTCACCAAATCATGACTAGAAGCCTTACTAAAAATTATTAAGTCATCCGCGAATTGCAAATGAGATAACATGAAAGAACGATCATTAGAGCCTAATTCAAAACCCGAAAAAAGCCCCTTGTTCACTGCTTTCACCAACATTAAATGTAGCAATTCCCCTCCCAAATTGAACAACAAAGGGGATAACGAGCAGCCCTGCCTTAGACCTCTAGTAATGTTGATTTTCTCCGTAGGAGTGCCATTTACCAAGACTGAAATGGAAGCTGTTGAAACACATTTATACATCCAAGAACTCCATCTAGCTCCAAACCCCATTTTACTCATTATTTTCAACAAGATCTTCCAATCAACCGAATCAAAAGCTCTTTTGAAGTCCACCTTAAAGACAACTCCCTTCAATCCTTTTTTCCTCCAACAATCGATGCCTTCATTTGCTATAAACGTACAATCTAAAATGTGTCTCCCCGGAATAAATGCGAATTGTGATGGACTAATAACATCATTAATACACAAGCTTAACCTTCTAGCTAGAACTTTTGAAAGAATTTTGTAGAAACCCCCAACAAGACTAATAGGCCTAAAGTCTTCAAGCCCCTCCGGATTGTCCCTCTTTGGAATAAGAGAGAGGAAAGAGGGGTTGATTTCCATGTCCCATTCCTTTCCCTCATAAAATTCCGTAAAAAACAGCAGCAAAACTTCCTTCAGACTTGGCCAAAACTTCTTAAAAAAGCCTAAATTCAGTCCATCAGGGCCAGGTGCTTTGTTACTATCCGAATTAGCGATTACACCCCAAATTTCCTCTTCAGAGAAAGGCTTCTCGAGGGCCATACTCTGCTGATTCGAGAGCTTTAAAAAATCCAAGTCCAGTTCCTCAACTTCCAATGTATTTTCCTGGTTTAACAACCCCTTGAAAAAGTGCACCACCGAATCTTTAATTAGTTTTGGATCTGAAATGTCTTCATTATCAACTTTGATGGATTTGATATTATTTCTCCTTCCTCTACCTCTTGCACACTGGTGGAAAAATCTGGTGTTCTTATCCCAATTCAAATTCCACTTCAATCTTGACTTTTGAAACCAAATCAGTTCATCTTTTTTATACAAGTCCCACAGCTTTTTCTTTGCTTCCACTAGGTTCTTCATAGACACCATGGAGAGACCTTGTTGCAAATTAAGTTCCATCACCTGAATTTCTTTCTCCAACCTATTTATTCTCCCAGGGATCTCAAGATAGCCCTTCCCAGACCATTTCTTCACTGCTCCCTGCACTCCTTTTAGTACACTAGAGATTGGTTGCCTATTCTCCACATCACAAAGCTTGACAAGTTCTCCCTCCATCATCTTACAAAACCCATCCTCTTCCAAGACATAATTAAACAATTTGAACGGTTTAGGGCCCCAATTCCAGCCCCTATTTTCCAGCAAGATGCTGTTATGGTCAGAAACAGACCTTTCTAGGAGTCTTTGAGTTATCATAGGGAACAAAGATAAAAATCTTTGGTTCACTAGGAATCGATCTAGCCTCTCATAAGTTGGGATATCTCTATTGTTGCACCATGTAAATCTGCCTCCAACCATAGGCAAATCCAGAAGATTAGCTTTGCTCACAAAATCTTTGAAAGAAAACATTGTAGCTAAGTTAACTGCACCTCTGATCTTCTCTTCCTGTGACATAACCACATTGAAGTCTCCTCCGAGACACATTGGACAGTCTATATTCTCTAAGAATGATAACAGCTCCCCAAAAAACGCCTCCTTTTCTGAATCAACACTTGGACCATACACATTTATGAACCAACATGCTCCTTGTGACTCATCAATAATACCCTTAACTGCTACATATCTCCTATGAATGACCTCACTCTATAACCTTACACTCTACCTCATTCCACAAAGTAATCAGACCTCCAGCAGAACCTTCAGCTGCTGAAATTACCGAAGCTGTCAACAAATTACCTCCCATTTTCCTCACTACCGACGGGGTCAACACTTCCTTTTTCGATTCCTGAATGAAAAAAATTAAAGGCTTTCTCTCATCAACAACCCTCCTTACAGCTCTAGCCTTTATCCTCCTACCCAAACCTCTAACATTCCAAGTCAGTAAATTCCAACTAATCATCTATATCCTATCATAACCTTGGAAACCATTACCCCTTAATTTCCCCCATGTAGTCCTCTCTCCTTAATCAATGGAATTGCTCTGTTCATAAAAGCTTTTTTCCCCCCTCTAAATGTGACCCCTAACAATTTACTAACATTCCAGCTCTCCAATGCCTCTGCCCCCTCCTCTTCCTCGTTGCTATATAAATAATCCGAACTTGTACCTAAACAGCTCCTAGTTCCCCTCGACCTAGATCTTGAATAAACATGTTTGTATTTGCCCCTTCTCAATCTACTCCCAGATACAGTCCCCGAATTTCTTTTGGAGGTCAGGGAAACAAATCCCACTTGCACAGGAGTTTGACATTGCACAGCATTATTTTCTGTTATTTCGAAACAACCACCCTTGCTTAATCTCTCCTCCTCTTGCTCCAGCCCACTCCTGAAATTTAAAACCGGGCCCCTAATAAGCCCATTTTCGCAGTCAACTATATCATGCTCTATAAGGACACCTCCCAAACTTTTCTCATTTTCTCTCCCTTCATTAACTTCTTCTGACTTTTCCCACTGTGTAGAGACATCACCTACTTCTTTCACTTCTTTGCACAAGTCAAATGTATTTTCCCTACCTATGTTTAAATTCAAACCTCCCTCGGTAGTTGTGTTTTTGCCTTGTTGTGAACTTCTAACCCCATACTCAATCCTATTTTGGGGTGCTGACAACTCCTGTACTCCCTCCTGCTCTTCTTGCCGATTCTGCACGTCTTCATTGCTCCAATCCGAAGAGCTTTCCTCCCATGGATTCTCTGCAACTTCTTCTACCTCCATATCTGTTAATTCTTGGGAAAAATCCTCAGCACCATCAACTTTAATTTTAATCATGAATTTTCTCCCATACGTAGTGATGATGGTTTGTTCTGGAATGTCAAAAGGACTCTCAACCCTTAGTAGCAGCTGCGCCACTCTGCAATCCACTCTATGCGTAGTTTGATCTTGGATTTTTACAACCTTACCCCATCTGGATGCTAAGCTAGTAAAGAACGGGACCGACCAACAATTTAATGGGACACCAATTATTGAAATCGCACAATAAGCTAATGGGATACCCCCCTCCTCTACCACCGGCTCCAATATATCAAACCAGAACGTTAAAGCTTCCCATTTTTCTTCCATTGCAATTCTTCTCTCATCAACCGACTGAAACACCACCAGACACGCATTCTTCGCACATCCCCACCTTATCACCTTAACTTTGAAGCCCTCATTTCGTAAGGCTTTCTGCACAAATTCTACTTCAAAAATATCTTTGCAAATGCCAGTAAGTGAAGATTTCAACCATAATCTCTCTTCCATCGGAATAAAGACATCCAAAGATTTCTTCTCTTCCTTTTTACTTGATGACCTTCTGGAACTTTTTTCACCCCAACCACAATGTCTCTATAAGTTCTTCCATCATGGAACTTGTTCATTCGTTCCATTTTTCTCATTCACTTGTGCTGAAGAAGCCATTCGTCTGCCCTTCCACTCTCCTTTTTTCTACCCTTTTGAAGCCCTCCTCAGTATTCCCTTCACGATTCTTCATCCCAGCTAACTTGTCATATTTAGCTACTGAAACAGAAATTATCTTCCCATCGATCCTGACATTGTTCATCTTCTCCACCGCATTGCACAGATCCTTCCTGCTAGCAAAATGGACAAATGCAAACGTACAATCCTTGTATTTTGGTCTGTTGTTAATAAAAGGAATAAACACCCTAATAACTTTTCCATGATAACTAAAATGTTCCCCTAATGTTCTTCTGTTCACTCTTCTACTAAGGTAGTCAACGAACGCAGACCAAGTACCCCCTCCATGAACCTCTCCATCTTTGCCATCAGAATATCTGCTCTCTCGCTCTCTCTCGCTCTCTCACTCTCTCCATTTTTATGATTAAGAAAAAGGGCATCGTTCTAACCATTGGAAAATTATATTTGTATGTCTAAAGATGGTTATGTTTAACATGTTCCCCATTCTCATAACTTGTGTGTGGAGGAATTTTGTTTTTTGTTGAAGTCACAATAAATACTAACTTTTTCTGGGGAAGGGATATCTTGAAAGTGGATGAGGCAATTGTACATTTTTCACTAGCTTTCTTGAACTTTGTATCTGAAAATTGCTTTGTGTCTGCTGTAGTGACAACATATCAAAGTGGAAATTGCTTAATGAAACTGCAGATTGTCTATCATGTGAATATGTAAATTTAGAATTTAGTATTTCTTTTGTGTGGGGAAAATAACTCAATGAACCCATATTTAATTAGACCTTTTCCATCTAGTAACTTTTTGGAGAGATCACGATCACCTGTCATGGTGGATTCCAGAAGCGAGGCAGAACTCAAAAACCTCTTTAGTTGTTGAATAAACAGCAGTCAGAACCTTGACACTTGAAATTTATGTAGGTTTATAATGAATTAATTCAAAGAATTGAAATATGGTACCTGTATTTTGTCCCCCCTTCTCCTTCATCCTCTTGAAGCGGGGTCTGCGAAGGTGGATTGTCAGAATTCAAAAAACTCCTTAGTTGTTGAGTAAACAGCAGTCAGAACCTTGACACTTGGAACTTAAGTAGGCTTAAAATGAAATAATGTAAACATTCCTGCGGAGGCAGGTCACTTGGGAGGGAAGCATCCAATTGCAATACTGAGCTGCTAGGATATGATGCCAGCCTATTTTTTGTCCCTCTTCCCCTTCATCCTCCTCTTGAATCTTGGATGACTTGGACAGCTTCATTTTCTTGTTTCTCTTAAAATGAAGTTGTTTATATGTCCCAGCCAAAATGAAGTTGTTTATTTGTAGTGAGAATATTTCTATAGTTCTGTATCCTTACTTTTAATGCTATCATATCGTAGTTTGTTGTGCTGTCACCTGTTTTTAGAAGTCCTCTGGGATATCTAGTTTTGTCACTTCCTTTTAAGCCCTCCCAAGTATTTATCATGTTTGAAGAGGAGAAAGGATTTTAGCAATCTTGCTGGATCGATGGAATTATCAGATGAGAATGTGTGGATTTTCTCTGGTTGTTGAACTATCAAATTTGACAACTAATCCTTCGCTGCTCAAAGCTGTATGAGTCAACCCATATTAGAGATCCAACCTAAAGCCTACTGGTCTTGAAAGCTATATGTAGCACTTGTATACCTCAACCAATTGGAACTCTGTTATTATATTTTAACCATGGCAACATTCTAGTTGTTGGACAGCGTTCTTTTTTTGTAGGAATTATCACCTTTTTTAACCATCAATTTATTCTGTTGGTTACATTTGATTACTTCTGAGCAAGTGGGTAACTCAGTTGATGTTCTGAAGGCAGCAGAATTGGAAATTGAAGCATATCCCCTACTGGATGAGCTTACATCAAAGATCAGTACGTTAAACTTGGAGCGTGTCCGCAGATTGAAGAGCAGACTTGTTGCATTGACTCGTAGAGTTCAGAAGGTATAAAGTATTTGCCTCTCTCTTTGGAAGGTGAATAGCAGCTTTGCATCTTCTGATACTTCCCCCCCCCCTCCCCCCGGGCGGGTATTTATTTAGGTTAGAGATGAGATAGAGCAGCTAATGGATGATGATGGAGATATTGCAAGGAGCCGCCATGGGAGCATGAGGAGTTCAGACAGCACTACAGAGAATATTGAAGAGCTTGAGATGTTACTGGAAGCATACTTTGTTCTCATTGACAGCACCCTAAATAAGTTGACTTCGGTGTGTAAAGCACTTATTGTGATCTATTTCCTTTTCGTTCATAATACTATTTTCTTCTTGTTTCAGTTGAAAGAATACATTGATGACACAGAGGATTTCATCAACATTCAGCTGGTATACTATCTTAATTCATTGATAGAATAAATTATTACAGAAGTATTATTTTCCACGAACCTAAAGTGGAGAAGATAAAACTCTAAAGCTCTGTTTGGATGCACAGGGGCTTTCTTGTTACACCTACCCAACTGGCACGCTGAATCCAAATGGTTCCAAGTGATATTTTAATTCTCTGATTGTCTTAGCTCATTTGTTGAAAACTTCTTAGAATGGAAACATTAATAGGATGAAAAAATCGGATCTTTTCCAGGTTTATAATGACCTTGGAAATATGATTGCAGGGCCTAGAATCTAACCATATTCTAGAAATTTAGTCTGCTTTCTTTCTCTCATATTTTTTGATGTTATGATTTCTGGTACTCGTGTGATATGTTTGGAATTGTGTCAAATTTCCAAAAAAGCATCCGAGTTTTATTTATTTATTTATTTTATATCTAAGGACGAACTTTGGGTTGCAGGATAATGTTCGAAACCAGCTGATACAGTTTGAACTGCTGCTGACAACTGCGACCTTTGTTGTTGCTATATTTGGGGTTGTAGCAGGAATATTTGGTATGAACTTCGTCATACCAATGTTTGATGAGCCTGGTGCATTTAAGGGGGTCCTCATAATTACTGGGGTTTCTGGGATCATCATATTTTGTGCATTTATATGGTTCTTCAAGTACAGAAGACTGATGCCCCTATGAAAGAAGGGAGCAGTCATTTTGGCAGAATTTTGTGCCCTGAAATGTATATGGAAAGAAACCCAGAACAGAAAGCTCTCATTTTCTAGTTCATTCTTTTGTTGAAATTGCATGGTCATCTCGCGCTGCAAATGTACCATACGTAGTTGAAGTTGGAAGAAGAAGACGGTTCCAAGACGCATGCATGATCGGATGTGGTGCCCTTAATCCGATATTATCCTTTTTGGTCACTTAAAGAGCTCCAATATTGTAAGGAATATGCTAAGGCGAGGATTACTGATGCTTCAAGAAAATTTGGACGGAACAAGTGCTTTGAGAATAATAAAAAATTAGAGATGGAAGTAAGTTACTTGTTTTGATTGATGGTCCGAAGTCATCAAATTTAGAAATCAACTTGTGTTTTAAACAACCTCTTGGACTAGTATATCGATTACTCGAGAGGATTTTACCAAAAAAATTATCAAAATATTGCCCTTGTCATGTCATCTTCAGTTTCAGTTATATCATCCTGTGAAGAGTATCCTTTACATAGGGTGTAAATGAATTGAATTCAAACAAATAAAGTTATTCATGTTTATTTTTAAAGGCATCGTTTAAAGTTTTGGTATCATATTTGTATTGTTTATTTATTCTTGATGTTCATATTTAATCGTTTGGTGTTCAAAAGACATTCATTTAACGATGACTAACATATTTGTTTAACATTTGTTAAATATTTGCAAGCCAAAGAAAATAGTGAAATTATACTTCAAAATTCACCTTATGTTCAATTTAATTCCTATCTTCACCTTTATCAATATTTAAAAAAAATTAAGAACAAAATAAACGAACTTATAAGCAAGCTTACCAATAAACATAAATGAACCTAACACACTGTATTTGTATTTGTTTGTTTATTAAATAAACATAAAATTTTTATTCATTTTCACATGTTTAATTAAATAAACAAACGTTATACAGACAGTTCACAAACAATTAGTCGAACGCTCTCATCATTTACACCCCTATATATATATTAAGTCATCTCAACCAATCATAACCCATATTAACATGTAGAAACTCGAATACAGCATAACCCATTTTAATACATAGGGAAGTAAAATATTAAACATGACAAATAAATAATTAGTTAAATAAGAAAGCTTTAAAATAAGGATAAGTGAGTTTTAACTCGATTGGTATCTTCACTGGTGCAACATAGTGACATACAAAAGCACATGCAACTCAACATGTTTAAACGTTCAAAATCCTCCGTATTGTATTAAAAAAGGGAAACTTAATCAACCTCAAGTCTGATAATTTATTCCTCATTAAAGAGAATTTTGTCAAACAAACATCAGGGGGCAACAATTTCATTTCTAAGCAAAATTATAACCACAAATACGAAACAAATGTTGACCTTGAAAGTGATCAGATCATTCTATGACTTTTTTTTCTTTTCTTTTTCCAAACAGCATCTAGCAAGTATATTATTACTTTTGCCATTTTCGCTTTTTTCAGCATTCAAGGTTTTCGATTGAGTCTAGGACAAAAACAGATTACCATCAAATTACGAGCTTCGATTCCGACTCTAAAAATGTTGCTGATGGACGGAAGAACTTGACTTATTTTGAAGAAGAAAGTCGTTGACTCCGTGCTTTGTCAGCCTTTTCCATGTAATCTTGGTGTGACTGATGCTTTGATCCTATTAGGAAAATCAAGCATTTGTTCGATCAGTTTAAGTGATCAATGTATTAACAAAGAATCTATAAGAAATTGGAACAAGCATACACAAATATTCACAAGCAGCTAGAGGATTAAACACTAAGATTGCAACATGACATCTTGGAAGTTGGGTAAATTTTCTATCCTCGCATAACTTTCCTACGGTTATCTATCAAAAACATTTCAATAGGACCCCTTAATGAGATTAATATCTAAAAGGTTTAAGTTTAGAGTAGTCATCAACCAGAGAATCCCACTCTTTCTTGCTCAAATTTTGAAATTTTAAACTTTTATAGAGTGAGTCAGTCATTGGCATAGAAGGAAAAGTCAAACTTATAGCATAGCACCTGAAGATATAGTAAATATATGAAATAACATTTTTCATTAAATAAGCACATTTATCATCAATTGAAGACAAGTTTTTAGAGTGTTCAGACCCACAACAAGTGATAATGAATATCCTCCCAAATAAATTAGTAATGAGATAAACCAAGAACATAACAAGAGATGCGAAACATTATCAGCATATTCCTAGAAGAAAACAAAATTGTTCTCCAATCAACACCAAAGTCCAAAGAAACCTGAGAATAACATCTATTCTATGCTTAAAAGTGAGACCTACAAAGTAGAGGGTTTCTTTATAAAAGTAAAAAGTATCTCCAAAGCTATGTTACTTGATCTATGCGCCAGTATAAAATACAGGTTTGTCCATCACGGGTATGTTCAACTTTTCTTTCTGTTTCTTCTTCAAGTATTTCCATGTATTTGAAGGATCATTTGAGAGACACATATCTATATCCATGTCCAAGTACATGTCGACATGGGTGCTTGAAGACAAATAAAAGAGTTAGAGCAACGCAGCTCCTAAGAACTAGAGATCATCTGTAAGCTGAGCCAAAATCAAATAATCTCTTAAGGAAAAAAGGAAAGAAAACTATTTCCTCCACAAGTTGCAACCTAAAAGTTTTTACCCTTCAGAAAACACTTAACCTATTCAGCACAAAAGCTTCAGGTTCTAACTTATATGAACAAGAATACCTAAGGCATATACAATCCCTAGCTGAAAAAAGCAATTTTAAGGTTTGCTACGACGGGATAGAGAAAAGAAAATATAAACCTAACTCCTTGATAAAATTGGCCAAATTCTCAATTTTCTTATGATGTTAACATCCCAGGAAAGGACTACTTATAAACCAGCACCCACAGCCATCAAGACAAGCTTATTTATATTATGAAATGAATTTCTTGACCCATGTCAACATAAACTAGCACATTCTTTTTATGTTCAATAAAAATAAATTAATTTTAAAACCTATATAAGAACCATTGGAATCATAAATATTGGCTGATAGTCTGCTGCTAACAGAAATGAGTTAAAAAGAAGTTAGGATTTAGCTTTAATATGGTTCCTCGACAACCCTAACTTTGATGCAATTACATTTTTGTCACATTTTCTTTTCATTAGCATTTTTTCCAAACATGAGTTGTGTACAAATATAAACTCCAGCAAACAACATCAAACAAATCCCTCCAATTTGACTGATTCCTTAATACCATGTTTGAGAACATAAATTTGAAGATTTGATTTGGATTCCATTTACTATATAAATAGTGAATGAAATAGATACACTATATATATATACTAGTTAAGATTCAAAAGAACTATACATATACATCTGAAAATCATAAAACATGAATTTTATATTCACAAATATCTGTATGAATTTTAAACCTACTAGGCATCCAAAAATACCATGAATTTGAAAAAGAAAATTGAATGCTACACTTATATGTGTTCTATAACATAACTTGCACAACTTTTGAAATCCAAGTTTCCAATGACTACAAAAAGATTCTTTAACATCAGAGAAATTTTAGAACCATTTCCAAAAAGAAGAAAAAAAACAGATTCATCGACTCAAATCATGCAGGAAATTTTGCCCATCAAGAATTTCATAATCAACTGCTAACTATTATGTAAACCCAATAAAGGAAAGGGGGGAAAGCAAACAAGAAACAAAAGCCAATGATGATCCTGTATATCTATCTTTGCTTTCGTCTACTAAGTCTACAGTAAACATAAAACCTTCTCAAAGTTGCAAATATATATAATTCAATGTTTCATTCAAATCCCAAATTCCAAATCCCAAAACCCACCCAACACCCCCCACCCCCAAAAAAAAGTGAAAGCAAAGCTGAAAGAAGAAGAATTAAGGGAAGAGAAAAATGCACCTCGATTCATGAGAAACCAAGGGGCACCAAAAACGACGGCGATGATGACGATGCCAGCCATAACGTGCTTCTTTTCACCGCTGTAAATGTAGTGCTCCATTATTGCCCGGAATCCTCCACCTACGTTGGCGGTGGTTTTTGCTTCGTTTCCCATTTCGCCCCTAAACCAAATTGGGTTAGTTAATAAAAAAAAAAGTTGGGTTAGACTCAGCTTATGTTTTCCCTTCAGCTTACTTTGATTTGTCTTTATGTCTCTGCTTCGGTCTTTGCAGATCTTATTAAGGCTTTGCCGCCGCTTCGGTCTTTGCAGATCTTATTAAGGCTCTGTCGTCGCTTCGGTCTTTGCAGATCTTATTAAGGCTTTGCAGTCTGTCTTTGCAGATCTTATTAAGGCTTTGCCGCCGCTTCGGTAATTCTCTTGAGCGTTTGGTTGTTATGTTGGGATATCTTATTCTACTCATCCTGGACGAGTTATATTTCGTAGGGTAAAGTATGTTATTTAGTCACTAAATTATTTATGTCGTTCTGTTTTGGTCATTCAGATATTATTTTTTAAAATTATCATTAAACTTGTAGACACACGATTTCGTCCTTTCTTATAACTATATATTATACAGTATGATATATTACGCGTATATTGTATAATATATATATACATATATTATTTTTTAAAATTATCATTAAACTTGTAGACACACGATTTCGTCCTTTCTTATAACTATATATTATACAGTATGACATATTACGCGTATATATATTATATATTATATACATTTTTTGTTTTGTTACACGTTTCAGGCCCAACAAATGTTTACAATGGCCCAACAGTGTACAACATGAACAGGTGACCCAGTAAACCCTAAACATACACGGGAGCTAGGGTTTCCAGCCAGCATTCCAAGCGGCGCCTCACGAGTCTTCGCTGCTCACGCTGCTCGACCAAGTCCCTCGGTCAACCTCCGGATTTCATGGCCACACGCCACCAACGCCGGCCGTTTCGCTCAAGGCAACCAACAACAATGTTAGCCGAGTGTTTTACATTGAATCAAACACTCAAATAGACTAAAAATAAGACCTCTATTTTTACTATAAATAAGTGTAAAAGAATCACACACGAGGGGTGGAGGATTAGGCACGAGATTACTCACGATTTACACTAGAAATTGCACAAAAAATACGAAGGAATACTAAGGAGATCGAAGCTTTTGTACCAATCTCGAAGCTAAATAAAAAAGACGAAAAGGGTTCTTAACCGAGGCGGCACGGGCTAGGAGCCTTTGAGAGTCGGCCACTGCGAGATTTGTGAAAGAGGAGAACGAAAAGAAGCTGAGAGATCTGTTTCCATCGCTCAAAATAAAAAAATAGGAAGGGGATATTTGTTGGTTCACGTGTTCTTAAGTTAACAAGGAAGGATGAGTGTTTTTAATTTGGATTTTGGTTAATCTCACTTAAGGTGCCTATAGTTTTAGTTAACTTTTATTTTTGTTTCTTAAAATATTGTTTTATTCACATTCAAGTCCCCTCAATTCCTGCCGTGTTTTGCATAATGACCCCAAATATATACGTAAAAATTATGTTAAACCCCCTTAAATGTCGCCGTGTTTTTACATTTTGGTCCCTAAAATTCTACATTTTATTTATTTCACTTTTGTCACTTTAATTTCATTGTTTTTAATTTAGTCACTAACATGTTATATTTCTGGTTTTGTTTATTTCTAATTTTGACACTTTATTTTCTGTCCATTTTATTTTAGTAACTATTTATTCCTAATTTGGTACTGCGTTTCTTATTTTTATCTTTGTTTATTTTTTAGCTATTATTTTATGTTTTCTTGCATTTGAATTTTCTTTCATTCCTTTTTTTATTTTTATTTTTATTTTTTAATACTAACTTTTTTATGATCTTTTTAAGATAATTTCAATCGATCAAAGGTAAACAATTTGAATAGAATGTTTTAAATTTTAATTTAAATTTTTAAATTTTCGCAAATAAAGACAACCGCTAAATTAATTAGTACCGAAAGGGCGGTTCAAGGGTGCTAATCATTCCTTGACCGTAACCGACTCCCGAACCCGACACATTTCTGGAACAACGCAGATCAGATAAGATGGTGTCCGACCCACCTAAATTTGTTTTAAAATGGTCGGTGGCGACTCCTAATTCGTTTAATCCAAGTCGAAGCCCAATTTCGGGCTCAACCGAAAGACGGTTACGACAGCTTGGCGACTCCACTGGGGACAGGTAAGTGAGTCAGGCCGAAATTAATTTTCGGTTGTCTTTTTTTAGCGAAAATTACAAGTTTAAATTTTAATTTATTTATTAGATTCTTATTATTTTTCTTTAATTATTTTTTCAAATAAATAGTTGTACTAACGTTTTTTAATGATTTCAGATATTTTTCAAAATTGTCATCTCTAGCTCTATACCCGAGTTCCAAACCCTTTTAAGTGGGGGCAAAAGCGACGCCTTCGTATGAATTTATTCACCGTATAGGCCTAGCAAGTAACCTTCAGGATTCATATACCTTATGCCTTCGTGTGAATTTATTCTCCGTATGGGCATAAGGGAATGTTTCCTCTCGAGTTTAACTTAGTCCATACAAGCTTGTAATGGGCTTAGGACTAAGGGTCTGGCAAGCCCAAGGGGGCACCAGCAAGGAGAACTTGAGTACCTTTTTAGAACCTAAATCGGGAGAGTACACGGAATTAGAGCCCACCCCAAGACCTCATTCCAAATGCTAGACTGCTTTATCTCCTGCTTTACTTTCTGATCAAAGCATGCGAAGTAGACAAATATACGGCTAGGATTTGTTTGAAATTAGCATGCGGGATAAAGATCATGTCCGGGTAGGAATTAAAGCATGTGGGGCAGATATCATGTGGGGTAGGATTTTTCATTTTTATTATTGTTTTGATTTACCTCACTAACTCTTTTTATTTTTTGTTTTCCTTTATTTTGTTTTCATCATTCGCATAATTTAAAACGAGGTGTTGATCCACCAAAAACGTGTTTGTTAAACATGAATAATCTGCATTAATGGACAAAGGGGTTGTAATACAAGAGATGAAAATGTAGAGGATAGTCTATAAGGAGACTATGTATCATATTCAATCTAGAAGACGTGGTGCCCACAATTAGTGTATCACTCTGCTGCATTATAAAGGACCCAGAATGAACCGGGTCTACATCAAGCACAATGAAAGTCTATCTTTGAAGAACTGACTGGCAGAGGTTGTAGGGGCAAGATGAAGGTTATTGATCTTGGGGTCCCTTCAAAGACAACAATGGCAAAACGATAGCTGAAATTGGAGACCATTACTGACGAATTCAAGAAACAGACCAATGAACTTCACATAATTCCTATCAATTGAGGGCTCCAATGACATATTCGTTGGGAAAAGGTTCAACAGAAGATAAATGCCAGAGATTCAGTCATTCGAGATTTCTTGGACCAGTACAAAAAGAAACTCAACATTTGCACAGTTCATCCAGAAAAGCCGGAGCGATTCTACAGGTTATTCAAACAATGACAGACGAAGGTAGAAGACTAGCCAACATGTCAAAAGCTGTCACGATATTTTTGTCTCTTAAAAGATAAAACACTTTTGTCCCCAATAAAGATTATTCATAATAACAGACACATTTCTTGGATCAATGCCTCGAACATTTCATGCATTCTTGCATATTCCGCATTATTTTCATTTTCTTTTCCGTTTTTTTCATTTCATCCACATTAACTAACGAAAGAATGCTTCAATAAAAGGAATAAACACTAGACATTCCACCTCAAGCGTTGGACACACCCCATCTGCATAACACCTGTTTGAAAAAGAAGAAAATGGAAGCCAGGATTACTCAGATCGAGGAGAACATGGCAAAATTACAGAAGAAGCTTGAAGATAAGATAAACCAGAGTAGTCCGAGTACTCTGAATACAATCATGAAGAACCAAGAATCTTTGGTGGATCAGATCGTTGCCAAGTTAGTTGGCCTACAACAGACCAGTGCGCCTGGGGCAAGTTCACCGGAAGGGGTAACTATACCACCTACCCCACAAGTGGTTATCTCACTTGAAAACTTACCATAACTTTGAGGGGACTCATCTGCTATAAAAGCGAAGCCCTCTTCCTCTGTAGTTAACCCTGAGAACAATTCGGGTTATTACCATATACCGGATTCGGACGAAGATGACAAATCAAAGAAGATGGAGGAGAAAATCAAGCAGTTGGAGGAGCAAATGAAGGTAGTCAAAGGAGACCATGACTACCCTGGAGTCGATGCCACGGAGCTCAGTCTAGTCCCAGACTTGGTTCTTCCTCCAAAATTCAAGTCCCCAGAATTTGAGAAGTTTGACGGGAATAGCGACCCATCCGCACACATCACTATGTTCTGTCGGAAGATGACGGGATATGGGGGAAATGACCAACTCCTGATCCAATGCTTCCAGGAGAGCCTGTCTGGTTCAGCTATTCGGTGGTACAACCAGCTCAGTCAAACTCATATTAAGACCTGGAAAGACTTAGCCAAGTCTTTCTTGGAGCAATACAAACATATTAACGATATGAGACCAGACCGAGTTATGCTACAAAGCCTGGAGAAAAAAACACAATGAAAGTTTCCGACAGTACGCACAACGATGGAGGGATCTGTCTGTACAAGTTCATCCACCTTTGGATGAAAAGAAAACTAGAAAGCTGTTTGTACAACCCTGAAGACACCTTACTTCGGCCACCTGGTGGCAATCACATCGGGATGTTTTTCAGATCTAGTTATGGCTGGTGAGATGATTGAGCTAGCCATAAAACAAGGAAAAATCGAAGAAGGGGACTCTAGTGAGAAGCCTCCCATGAAGAACAAAGAGCGAGAGATCAACAATATCAACACCTACAACGCTAACAAAGGTGTTATGATCTCAACCACTGTAGCTGTATCATCCGTTATTTCTAAACGAACTCAGAGAGAACCAAGGAATGAAAGGGAATCTTACCTGACTAATCTGGGGATGAGACCTTTTAATGTCTTCCATAACAAAGACTCGCATCAGTCCATTCCCAATGACATATGAGGAGTTGCTCCCAACGCTAGTTGAGAAGAATCTTTTGACTCTGGTTCAGTCCAAACCTAGAGAGGCCCCATATCCTGAAGGACATAATATTAACGCCATATGCAGTTATCATATCGGGAGCTCAGGGAACACCACTAAGAACTGTGGGGCATTGAAACGTAAGGTCCAAGACCTGATCGATTCAGGGGCATTGACTTTCAATGAGTAATGAGGCATTCTGATCGAGTTGATTGGGGCATCCATCAGGAGTTTTTCTATGTTCTCATCTTGTTTGAAATTGTTTTTGTTTTGTGCTTTTTATGTTCAAAAGTCACTTGACGTTTTAAACATTTTAAATAAAATGCTTTCTTCAGAGGAAATGAAAAAATTTAAATCTTGAATTCCTTGAATATCACCTTAATTAAAAGCTGTTTAATAATTGAGGTTGTGAATCTTTAACAAATAACAAGATTGAACCCTGCAAAACAAAGACCCCTTGGTCTTAATTTAAAAGATACATCAGACTACATGTTTTTCTCTTATAGGGACCGAACTAGTTTTCTCTTCTCATGAAGAGTCCATCAAAGGTTTGGTATTCAGGTATGTGTTAGGAGCAAACAAAATGGAGCAACTAGCACATGATATTGCAAAACTAATTGGTTTATACTTTTGTTTAAGACTTTCAGTGATGATAATGATCTTCACATATGGAATAGTAGAGTAAGCAAATCTAGTTTAGGTTAGTTGTTTGGAAATTGAACTCTAAAGATGAGATCCCTTGGCTTTCAAAAAACACCTAGACTATAACATGTTCTTCTTAACAATCTTAAGAAATTAAATCCGTAAAGCTGAGCTATTCCACTAAGGCAATTGGTTATAGAGGAAACTCGAAAGCCCTGGCTTTATGAATAGATTACATTCAAACCATGACATTGCTAGGACACTTGGCAATTCGGTGTTTGCTCCACTACTTTTGTCAGGCCAAAGACTTTGTGATGAGATGAACCCTTCAGTTAAACCTGATAAAAGTGATTATAATAATAAGCTATCCCTCTAAAGCAATTGGTTGAATGCCCCAGCTTTATGGATTCGGCTAGCCAGACAATGGCAAAGTAAATCAAATTTATCTAAGAAATTTTTGGTAATAATAGACTAAGGGAGTTGAGAAACACATGTTATAGTCAAATACACACGAGCACTCAAGAATCTCATTTTTCGACCGATATTTCTGCATTACCTTTGTTAGAAAAGCTTACAAAACTTGAACAAATGGAAGATTTTAGAGAACTGAAACATAAGTATTCTGAAAGGTCTAGCCATTGATTATGCTAGTTGTGTCATTTTGTTCGCCTCCGATCAAAATGTCAAATCAAGAAAAAAGGTATGCCATGATCTTCACGATGACTGAATCGATGGAACAAACCTTAATAACCCATCTCTAAACCAACTTTTCGATCTTGGTATTTGTCAAAGGTTTGCAGCTATCAAAGATTAAAAGAGCATTTGATTATTTTGATATCCAATGAACTCTGGTTTTATGATTTTCTTCAATGGTGAAACCTAGAATGAGGCAATATTTTTCAAAAATCCTTTTCATATTTTCAAAATTTTAAAAAGTCAAACAAGATAAGTTCTCTGGAAGCATGTCTTGGAATTCAACAAATATCCCTCTGAAGCTCAAGATTGAAGCTGGGGCAAAAGAAGCCATTTTTGGGGCAAAATTTGATAATTATCTTAAGTTGAGGTTTGCAAGAGTACACCATGGTGGAAATGAAGACAAACTGAGAGAATGAAGATTGCTCACGCAATTATCCCCTTCACAGATCAACATTTTGTTTTAAGAATATTCAAGATTCCAGCATCAAGAGTCATCAAGACTGACAACCAGGGATTGAGATTTCTCTTTAAACCCTAACATATTTCGCATATACATTAACACATGCATACATTACGCATGAAATTTGCATCTTTGCATTCATCATCATGTGCAAGAAAGACCTTTATTTTTTTAGGACAAATTCAATAAAACGACAAATAAATTTCATCTTGGCATACATCAAACATCCATCATCAGGATAGTTACATCCAGATACATTTTACAGATCTTTCAGGAGAAGATGAGATCAAAAGATAACAAGATATCCTCATCAAGAAGGAACAATCATCTTCAGAACATTTTCAATCTAAATTTTGTCTCACTTGAGTCAGTCTCATTTAATACAGATAATTTATCTCACTTGAGATTGTTTTTCTTAAAACTGACTTTGTCTCACTTGAGACTGTTTTACTCGAAATAAGATTTATTTCACTTAATATTATTTTTCTTAAAACAAATTTTGTCTCCCTTGAGACAATTTCTCTTGAAACATGAACATTGAAAACATTTCCCTTGAAATGAATTTTGTCTCTCTTGAGATAGTTTCACTTGAAACAAAATTTTGTCTCCCTAGATACAGTTTCTCTTGAAATGAATTTTGTCTCTCTTGAGATAGTTTCCCTTGAAACAAAATTTTGTCTCCCTTGAGACAGTTTCTCTTGAAACATAAACATTGAAAACATTTCCCTTGAAATGAATTTTTGAGATAGTTTCCCTTGAAACAAAATTTTGTCTCACTTGAGACAGTTTCTCTTGAAACATAAACATTGAAAACATTTCCCTTGAAATGAGTTTTGTCTCTATTGAGATAGTTTCCCTTGAGACAGTTTCTCTTGAAACGTGAGCATTGAAAACATTTCCCTTGAAATGAATTTTGTCTCTCTGGAGACAGTTTCCCTTGAAACAAAATCTTTTAATCTGTTTTCCTTTAAACAAATTTCGTCTCTCTCGAGACAGTTTCTCTTAAAAAATTTTGTCTCCCTTGAGATGGTTTCTTTTGAAACACAAAATCTTTGAATTTACTTCCCTTGAAACAAATTGTGTCTCCCTTGAGACAGTTTTCTCTTGAAACATAAACATTGAAAACATTTCCCTTGAAATGAATTTTGTCTCTCTTGAGATAGTTTCCCTTGAAACAAATTTTGTCTCCCTTGAGACAGTTTTCTCTTGAAACATAAACATTGAAAACATTTCCCTTGAAATGAATTTTGTCTCACTTGAGATAGTTTCCCTTGAAACAAATTTTGTCTCCCTTGAGACAGTTTTCTCTTGAAACATAAACATTGAAAATATTTCCCTTGAAATGAATTTTGTCTCTCTTGAGATAGTTTCCCTTTAAACAAATTTTGTCTCTCTTGAGACAGTTTCTCTTGAAACAAAATCTTTGAATATGTTTTACATTAAACAAATTTCATCTCCCTTGAGACATTTTCTTTTAAAAGTTTTATCTCTCTTAAGACAATTTCTCTTAAAGCAAATACCTTTGAAATCGTTTTTTCTTGGAACACACAAAAAAAACCTCTGAAATTGTTTCTCTTGAAAGATAAAAAAGGTCTTGAAATTGTTTCTCTTGAAAAAAAACCTTTGAAAATGTTTCTCTTAAAACACCAAACCTTCGAGTTCAGTTACGCTCGGCTCAAAGGCATATCAGTTGCAGCATAGCTTAAGTCGAGAAAAGTTATTCGTCAACGAAGACCTCTCCAGTTCGATCTCATTCAGCTTGAGTACCTATCAACCACTTGGTGAAGTCAAAGAATTATTTTCCAGTCGAATTTTCAAACCAAGGTCTTTAAACCGAGAAGAAGATCGGAGTTGATTACAATTTGGTAACGAGAAGCCACACTCCGATTCAGATTCTGAATTGCGGCTTCAATTCCATTTCAAGATGGACCCGACTCTGCAACTAAGGAGCCATTCAAAACTCAACCTCACGACGAGGGAGTCATTTCAGGATTCAGTTCAAATTGACAAATCTGTCTTAGCATCGGTTTTCAACTCTACAACAGAGGATATTCGATAGGGATTGACCCCTATGTGGATGGTGTTGATATATTCATGTTAGATGAAAAATGTGTCTTTTAATCTTTGCCCTATCCCTGTTACACGACTATGGGCAAAGAGGGGCAGCTGTAGACACACGATTTCGTCCTTTCTTATAACTATATATTATACAGTATGACATATTACGTGTATATTGTATAATATATATATATATATATATATATATATATATATATATATATATATATATATACACGTTTCAGGCCCAACAAATGTTTACAATGGCCCAACAGTGTACAACATGAACAGGTGACCCAGTAAACCCTAAATATACACGAGAGCTAGGGTTTCCAGCCAGCATTCCAAGCGGCGCCTCACGAGTCCTCGCTGCTCACCCTGTTTGACCAAGTCCCTCGGTAAACCTCCGGAATTCACGGCCACACGCCACCAACGCCGGCCGTTTCGCTCAAGGCAACCAACAATAATGTTAGCCGAGTGTTTTACATTGAATCAAACACTCAAATAGACTAAAAATAGGACCTCTATTTTTACTATAAATAAGTGTAAAAGAATCACACAAGAGGGGAGGAGGATTAGGCACGAGATTACTCACGATTTACACTAGAAATTGCACAAAAAATATGAAGGAATACTAAGGAGATCGAAGATTTTGTACCAATCTCGAAGCTAAATAAAAAAAATGAAAAGGGTTCTTAACCGAGGCGGCACGGGCTAGGAGCCTTTGAGAGTCGGCCACTGCGAGATTTGTGAAAGAAGAGAACGAAAAGAAGGT